GTTTTTGTGTTAATGTAATAGCAGTTAAAACAGGACCGGTCAAATTTGTCCGCGAACACCAAAGTAAGGGGGGGGAAACGAAGACAATAGGAGGGTTAAACAAACTACATTAGCCGATTTCATGGGAAACAGACATGTTCAATGTACTTCCTTCTTCATAAAACCTTTTCTAAATGTTTGGAATTCCCACGTTAGTAATCATTTTATTGTTGCATTTCTACCTTTCTGTTATTTATTAAACAAAACAAAGAGAAGTGTCCTTTGTAATCTCTAAATGTATTTTCTCTTCTTCTTTCCAGGAGATAATTTGCCAGAAGAACACTGTGAGTACAAAGCAATCTCTTTGACTTTCCTCTCCTTTAACACTTTACTCCCATTGCGCACACATCACACATCTTATGTGTTGCAGAGAATATGTTTTTCTGCAATGTGCAGATAGCCGAGTGTTTGACACCTTACGTTTCCCTCCTCGGTGTTATAAAGGTTTTTCTCTTTCGCAGCTCACTTTTAGTAAGAGGCTGATATTTGTTCCTCAGAAATGCAAGATGTCAAATGACATGATCTTCTCTTACATTTTGGAGATGTTTTTCTCAGGCGACAGCTGTTTCATGAGTTACAGTGACTGCATGGGCTTGATCTGCATAAATAGGATCAGGCATTTGGAACATTTCACTTGCAAAAACTGCAGCATTCAAATGAGGTGCTGCCTCAAAGCTAAGGAAATCCTTCTCTGTGCAGAGTCACGTAATGTTGTTTAAAGAAAATATATTTCCTTTTAGATGCACCCACTTCAACACATTAGGTTTACTGTAAGTCCTCTCACTTTGGGATTTTAGCCTTTGCAGACCATTTATATGCACACAAACCTATACAACACACTAGGGCTGCTCAATTAATCGTATTTTAATCGCAATTACGATTTTGGCTTGCAACGATTACGAAAACAACGTAGTCGAAATAAAACGATTATTTTAGTATCTTTTTTAGTATATTTTAATTTAATTTTTTGTATGTGATTTTCAGTTTAATTATACTTAAAGTTCAGGGTAATCAACTGTTATTTATTTTTTTCAATAAATGGATGTTTTCAAAGTAAATGGATAATCGTTTTTTAATAATCGTGATATAAATTATTGACCCAAATAATCGAGATTATGATTTTTGCCATAATCGAGCAGCCCTACAACACACTACAGGAAAGGGTAAACGAAGCAGAATTAGGCCTCTTTAAGACAATTTAAACGTGTACTATGTTTTTCTAGTTGAGAATGTGCATTGTTTCACAGCTCTGAGTATAATATGTAGAGGACAAAGCCAAAAGTGTTCTGGAGCACTGGTACAGTATAGTATAGTATAGTATAGTACAGCAGATTACAGAAACTGGAACTAACTCATGTTTGCGATTTTAGCCTGATAAACATGATTACACTACTCTTGACAATTGATTTTCTTATATCAACTAATTCAGCTCTAGAGCAAATATTAAGACGGAAGCAGACGACTGACTTTAGTCCAGAAGTCCATGTTCAGGCTTGAGATAAAAGGCTTAGCTCTCCTAAGTGGATTGAGGCCCTGCTCTGCATGGATCTCCTGATCTCTGACTCTGACTCGTAGCATGTGAGGAGAGCTGATTATCACTCACATTGTGAGGACGTGAACCCGCTGCTCTCCCCTATGGGCTCTCATCATTCTCCTGCTGTCTTGCTTCTATTAGAGCACTCCAATCTCCTCTGCACATTCGCATGTGCTTTTAAATCGCTTCTATGAGGGTTGAAGTGCACTTAAATAGCAATATCTGCATAATTTCTTCCATCCCTTTGTATCTGTGTATGGGCTATGATGAGCAATATCTTAATATAATTTTAAATATATTTAATTCAAATTGCCCTGTCTAGACACATAGGAATCATAAAAGCACCAAGGTCACATGGAAACTTCCAGACAATAGTGAAGCTCCTCTGTGGTCATGAAACTAAACACTCAAACTTTACAATTTATTCCCAAAAAGAGAACCCTCTAATCTTCTGTGAGCGACGTAGTTTATATATAGACACAGTGTTTATTTCTAAATGAGAGAGTATGCAAAGGCGGTCACAGGAAACGATCAAAAATGCCAGTCATGCTAACCCCTTCCCCCCTCGTGGTCTCATGTCTGCATACTGTACATGATGAATGATATGATGCAATAAGACCACCAGGACAAAAAGTAACCCTTCTTACAACTTGATCATTTGTTTACAGCACAGTGTTAAAGTTAACAATGTAATTAAAATGTTTGATAATGCGTACTATAGAAAAACATACTTGGACAAAAAAATATGTTTGTTGTTAGTATTTTCAAACAGTATGTGTCACTTTTACAAGAGAAAAAGGCCAGATTATTATTAAAACCTGACATTATCCATCAAATTTGAAACATATCTAATGTACTCTTGCTCTGTCTGTGTGTGTGTGTGTAGATTTACTAAAAGTAGCTTACACTGACACACTCTCAAATATTGAGGCCTGGTAGGAGGAGTTTCCAGCAACACTGATTGGACATCTGCATAAAATGGCAAATGTTCCCCAACATTGAGTTGTGGTCAGCTCTGAGTGTGTTTCTGTGAAGGTTAGTGAGTAAGCAGCTGAAATCTTCCAGTAAGATCAGATTGATCATCGGCAAGGATATCAAACCAGATGAGTCACTGACTGAATCACTGAATCACTGCCAGTCACATTCAACAGATTCCCCATGAGCCACTGCTGTCACATGTGTTTCACTCTGCTACCCGAGAAACCTGTTAGCAACCAGTGAAGATTAGCTTCAAATGGCCTGCAGTCGCCTTGAAATACGAGCGTGTGAAAAGAAAGAAAGAGCCCTGTGTCTATAGGCATCTCACACACAGAGGAGCTACATTTAACGTCAGGATTTAGCAACTTGTCTGGTTGCACCTGACAGAAAAAGAGGTCACGCAGATGGCATGCACCAGTGATGTCATCCGCTACTGTTGTAAAGGAGGAAGTATTTATCTGCGGGTTTGACTCTCATTGCTTCAACACCACACCTTCCTTTCGCTTCACTTTTTTGTCAAGCACTGAGAGCTGCAGCAGTGTTTGTTTCTTCTCAAAGAGGCTGCATGAAAAGCTGAGACTATGACAGAGTATTAGAGGTGTCAGGAGGATGCAGCTGTATGGCAGCCCAACCGTCTTCTGACGCGCTCATTGTTGTCACCACACATCTGAAATAATGGGAATTGCTCTCCTTGAAAAGACCTCAGCTGTTTATTGGGGATGTCAACAGTGGAGTTCCTGCCTCTCTAATGTTCTGTCTGCAAAGAACACCACCAGTGTTTCTGTGTTGTGTATTCAGCAGTGGCAGGTCACCGCAACCGAACCAGGAGCATAATGTCGAGTTCAAAACAAACACAGACAGGAGAAAATCTCCCTCCAGACATAACACAGATGTCAGGAATTAGAGCTAAGTACATAAAGAAGAACATTTTTTTTAGTGCTACAATAGCAGCTTAAACTGAAACAGACGTGAAAAATACATGACTGCTGCATGCCACAGCTAATAACAGGGGAAACCTCTGCAGAAGGTGAGCAGCAAGACGACTGTTTCTGCTCGGTGTTTGTGAGCATCACGCTGCATGAACAAGTGGAATTTGTAAGTGCAAGGCTGTATGTTTTTGTGGTTGCAACAAGAGAGCAGCTCCTAATGGGACTGCCAGCGCTGATACAGATACTTCCTACTGTGGGTTCAGTGAAGACAACACAAACACTATTGTCTCTTTGGACAAAGCCAAAGCTTAATGTTGTTACCTGATCCGTCTCAAACAGGGGAAACAGCTCCGACTTCCTCCAGGCAGTCGGCTTCCTCCCCTGTACTATGTAGTCTTTTACTATACAGTGTCTATGAACTTGGTTGTAAAGAGTTTTTGACAGGTTATTTACACAAGGTAATCAATGACTTCACCCAGACCTTTCAAGTACTACAAGTCATCAACAATTCAAAACTAAAGTAAAAGCAATTATATTTGCAGATTACTCCAGCTAACAAGTATTGGATATTCCCAGTATTGCTTATATATGTATTCGCTTTTTTCTTGCCCTAATTTTTGTTTTATTTATTTGTTTTTTTTCCAGTTTTCATTGGTTTTCTTTGTTTCTTTGTACTCCTTAATTTCTATACGTTTTTGATTAAATAAATGCCATTATTATATTGATGCTAATGATGATGGACGGGAGGGCTACTCCCCATAAGCTATGCTTCAGCCCTCCCGCTTCTACTAATGTTGTTCATTTGTGTGTATGAATTATACGTTTTTGTTTTTGTATGATTTTAGTAGAATAAATAAATATAAAGAAAAAAGAAAAAAAAGATTGTATTTACTGTAAATGTACGCCTTGTACTGGATACTGTTAAACTTCAGATAATACAATATACTCCAAGTATGGTTATTCATACGTATGTGCAATATGCTCATTAGCTAAACTAAAACCACAATAGATCTGCTAAATACAATTCTGCACAAAGGGACGTAGCATCACTGCACTGCTATCCTGGAGCTCTTGATAATATCAAACACATCTTGTACAGCCAAGGATGTCAAATAGAAGAAAAAAATGGAGATCAATAATGTTTACCCACTTTTATTTTTGAGCCAAGAAGAAGAAGTCAAAAAAGTGCTCAGAAGAAATTTGTATTTCAATATAAATATGACAACTGCAGTTTCAGTGGCAGAGAAAGTTGGCAAGATATGATTTAAAAATATAACAGCTACTAAATAGACTGAGACTGTAGTTTGATCTGACTTGTAAACTTAAATTGGGTCATAGTGTCAACATAGTGATATGATAAATTTTTGAAAGAGATTCAACTACAGATTTTATAAAAAAACATAACTCGAATTTGTATTTTTTATCCTTTTTTGGGTCGTATTGAATCTCATTATCAAGTGCTTTAGAATCTCTAAATGTTTGCCCACATGGTTAAAATATTGCTGATGACTACTTCACACAAAACCCACAATGTTATATAAAAAGAGTACTCTGGTGCTTAAATATACTCTTAGTAGCTATTTTTCTAAACTGTCTCCTTCTTTGTTTCTCAACAGATGTGCTCAGCCAACTACACCTTCATCCCCTACATGGTGACGCCCCACAGCAAGGTGTACTGCTGCGAGGGCAGCCTGATGAAGGGCCTGACGGAGCTCATGCAGCCCAGCTTCGAGATGCTGCTGGGGCCCATCTGCATGCCGCTGCTGGACCGCTTCATCCAGCTGCTCAAAGTGTCCCAGTCTAACTCCCAGTAAGTAACACTGAATGGTAGAGAGCAGAGAGGGCAAAAGTAAACACATCCTTTTCTCAAGTAGAAGTACTCGTGTTTAAAAATACTCTGGTAAAAGTAGAAGTATCAGAATCAGAATACCTTTATTAGTCCCACAGAGGGGAAATGTAGGTTGTATACAGCAGAAAAAGACAGCTTAATGTTACGTAGAAGCATGCATAAAAAAGTATTAAAGTAAAACAAAAAAGAAAAAGTTATAATATAATAAAAGATTTAATAAAATTAAAAGTTACACAATTTACAAAATACACATCCTGTAACAGTTCTTAAGATTTAGCAGCCAGGTATATATTACACAGTTATTAACGGCATATATATATATTGCACATAGTTGGTTGGTATTTAACAGCAAGGGGTGTTATAGTCTGTGTTGTTGTGTGTGTGTACTGACTAAACTTCTTTACTCAAGTAAAAGTAAAGAAGTATGGGATTCGAAATTTACTTAAAGGTCCCATGTCATGGCCATTTCTACTGATCATAATTCCATTGTTGAGGTCTACTAGAATAGATTTAAATTGTGCAATTTTCCAAACTCACATTGGTTTCTCATACAGCATCTCTGTATAGTATGTGTATTCACTCACTGTCCTAAACGGCTTGTTGGAACTCCTGCCCCCCCCTCCCTATGAGCCCAGTGGCCGTCTGCGAGACAGCGAAACCCAGCCCGAACACACACACACACCCGCAGTCTGGCTAGGAGTTTGTGTGTGTGCTCACACACTGACTCACAGCCTCGCCGCGTCCCGCCGACTCAGGGAGGGGAAATCGGCGGAGCTGCAGCTGAGAAAAGATTGAGTGTGTGAGGAAGTCAGCGGATTGGCCCATTTGGACCAATCCGCGGACTTAACGTAACGGCTCCACGGATTGCTCCATTTGGACCAATTTTTTAGGTCATTAGCCAAAAGCAAGTTACCAAATTTTGAAATTGAAAAGCATAGTAGGCTATACATTTTTCAGGCTACCTTGAAACAGATGCTACCAAAAATACAAACACTGCTTTTGAATAATCCTCACAGGAACATAGTGTAAGATATCTACACAATATTATGTATCTTTGCTTTGCCAGTATTAATATTGACAGTAACACAATATCAAATAGCTTCAATATAACGTGTTATTCAAACATTACACCAAATCCACCACAAGTTTAGATTTCTGGATGGACCCAGTTTTGAATACATTTATTTTATTATAACTTTGTAGGGTTGAACAGGGTTAGGGTTCATTCCCATGAAAGAGTTAATACAATCTATTTAAAGCTCTTCATTATAACAAGTTCCTCTGAAGGAAATGTACCGTCACAGTGTTTAATGACAGGGCCATGTTACTGTATGTGTGAAATGACCAATATGTGTCTGTAAACATATCTTTAAGCTGTTAAATGCAAACGGGGGTGTTGGTTGATTCATGAAGAGGAGGCCATTATACCGTGATTCATTCAGGTCCCTGTAGAGCAAAATGAAGCTTAGTGTTAGTGTTTGAACTCTGACTCGTTCCCAGCATAACAGGCCTTTTGTTTTATTATCCCACTCTTCATATTTTACCTGCTTTAATTATTTTATGTGGTGTGGCATCACTCAACTCTCACCTGCGTGGTGGTGATCTGCTTTTTTTGAAACATTTACCACCTCCTCAGTTGCTGGGGTAATATTTTAGGCTTTCCTGCCAACAGGCGAAGCTATCAAGCAGACAGTTGGTTCTCGCTCAGCTCCAGGAATAGTGACTCAGGTTTAACGAGCACAAAACAAAAGAAAAACATACTTTTTGATATCTTTTGTCTGTTGGAGAACAACAAGCATGAAGCAGGGAGTTTCGACTCAGGTGTCACTTGTATCTAAAAAGCATTCTGTACATTGTTTGAAGGAGCGTGACTATTATTTATAATTGCTTTAAGCTTACAAAGTAGTGATTGATGTATTCTGCCGTATGGCGCTAAGACCTGTGCTACCTGCAGAGTTGGGTGTAATAATATTACTTTTGTCGGTAACGGAGTAATGTAACTTTTATAATTCAGTAATCACACTACAGTTACTAACATTGCCCGACACGAGTTACTTCGTTACTTTTATAAAATCAGTAATCACTCTACAGTTAGCCTACTAACATACATAATTACTAGATTCTCCCTTTGACAGACGAGAGGGATTTCCGCCGCAGGTTTATATTTACGTAACATTTGCGCGACTTGCGCGTCCACATAAAGTGCATAAACATGGCTGAGTCAACAGGCTGAGTCAACAGCGATAACTTGGGGGTGGAGGTCTGCCCATTATTTTGAGTTCGTCCGAAGAAAGGACAGGAATGTGACGGTGAGGTGCAAACTGTGTCCAGGCCAGAAGCTTTTATCCACTGCTGCAAACACAACGTCAAACCTCAACAAGCACCTGCAAAGACAACATGCTAACGTGAAGCTAATAGCTAAGGAGGACCTCCGAACCCAGAGTGAGGATGTCGAGTAAGTAACGACGCTGTAGATGCGCCGCATTTGCGCTTCAGATGAGGCTCCCTCCGCAAAATGAAGCACCCTCCGCAGTCTGCGTGATCTGCCTGTAGGGAGGGGCGGCCCTGCGAGTAAAGTAACGCGTTACTTTATGTAGAGAGTAACAAAGTAAAGTAATATATTACTTTTTTTTTAAAGTAATGAGTAATATGTATTATTACTTTTTTTGAGTAACGACCCCATCTCTGGCTACCTGTTATCTTTACTGTAACTGATACAATGACACGCTAACAACTGATCAGCTTTCCGGATAATCGATGTTTTATATTGATTGATAGACTGGCAGTAGAATATTATCTAATTCAATTACTCAACAGGGGAAAGTGGAATCAAAATATTTATGAGAGACTTCTTGAAAAAACTCATTAAGACAATGGAAAGTAGCTGTCTCACTAGAGAATAATCAAAATTACTGTAAAGCAGTAAATGAATTAAAACTCCAATCACAGTTACAATTACCCTCCAGGAGATTGTAAATAGTAGAATTAGTATGATATTTTTGAAAGGCTTATAATTACTATTGGTACGCTTATTTGAAATAATTAAAATCGAGGGTTTTTTTTATGTAATGCTTGGATTATAAACGACTTTTTTTGCACTTTTTTTTACAGCCAATATTCCGCGAGACGCATTCTGAATGCAGATGAAGGCTCGGGAGCTTTACACGCGTGGAGCTGGCTAACGAGCTGAAACCGCGATCCAGCAGAGACTCGACACGTGCGAGTGCCTTTCTGTCGACATCGTCATCAACCTGGCCATGCTCCATACAGAGACATCCAGGTTACTACTGCTGTGGCGTGCTCATGTTCCTATCGTCTATAATGAAGTAAAGATTATTGAGATATTTACATTAACAACATCAAAACACAGTGAGTAAGGGAAAAACTGGCCCATGAGACAGGTGACCTATATACACAAACCACACTCATGTGACAATTAACGGAGGTGCTGCAACAAATACAATAAAAGTGAGCGTAAACCAAAATAATGAATAATAATACAAATAATCAAATCAAGGCTACGGTAGCATTTTTGGCTCTTACATCTGCTCTGGGAAATCACTCTGACACCAAGCATAATGTTGATATTGTTTGAATGAAGTGGCTGCCTCAGGATAATTATAGGGATAGTGTTGGACGATATGGTGTTGGTTGGCATATTCGTTTTGTGGTTTGTTGTTTGTGTAGGATTGTGTTTCATATAAGCAAGTTGTATTATCAGAATCACTCAACATTGAGAGAAAAGCCCCATCTTCCTACTGTAATG